TTCTCTCTTGGCAGGTTTAAACTGGATCCTTCTGTGAATCTCACTGCCATCTTAGAAAAATGCCCAGCTAAGCTGACAGGAGCAGATATCTATGCCCTGTGTTCAGATGCCACGATGTATGCTGTCAAACGCAAGGTGGAGTGGATTGAGGAAGGTAGGAGCCCTGCCCTTACTTGTCCCAGTTGTTGTAGTAGCCCAGCACAGGTGTAGAGAGGAGAGTTACCACTGCTGGTAGCTGGGCTGTGTGGAAAGATCCTCAGCAGCTTTGGGACCACAGTGCTGGGCTCTGGGTTATTGCCAGGCAGGCAGCTTCTGCACATGTGCTCATCTCCACCTCCAGTGCTTGGGCCTGGGGGGAAGGAGAGGGACACAGGTTTTCCTTGCAGTCTTTGATGGCTGGAGAGTGGGATTTTGGATCTTGCCAGCTGCCCGTTCTCAGCCCTTTCATGTTGTTTCTCTCATGCAGGGCTGGATACTGAGAAGTCTGCTCTGATCCTGACCATAGAAGACTTTCTGCAGGCTGCTGCCAGGTTGCAGCCATCGGTCTCTGAGCAGGAGCTGCTCAGGTACAGACTCGTCCAGCAGAAGTTTGCGGCCTCCTAATGCTCAGCTCTGCAGAGCTGGGGCTGGAGAACAGGCACAAACAGGCCTGCTCTTCTCTGATGCCTCCTGGGCCCCCTTCTTTTGAACTTGAGTGGAAATAGTATCTGTGCAGTTTCACAAGCCAAGGCAAGTGCTGGTGGAAGTGCTACTCTGCTCACCCAGGAGGGTGGTGGGTTCTGTAAGGGTCCCTCACATGTCAGTGGTGCCTTGTGGCTGCTAGGAACATAGCAAGGTGACTTCCTTGTGGGGGACAAAGCTGTGGGCAGTGTAGCTGTGTCTCCATGCGTGCCAGGCCTTTCATTGATGGAGGAGCAAGGCTCAAACTGCACCTGGTTCGGCAGCAAGTGCAGGGCTGGAGGCAGCTGCTTATTGGGTGTCAGCTCCCAGAGAGAGGTGCTGGCCAGAGGGCTGCTCCAGCTGGCCTAGACTTGACATAGTCTCTGAATAAATACAGTTTTTTTAGCACTAGGTGTTCACTGCCTGACCTCAAGTTGTTGCTTCTTATGGTGTCTGTAGGCTCAGGAAGGTCCCTACAAATTTCTGAGTGGGCTGGGTGGTGCAGAGAAATCACTGTCCTTCAGGTAGAGAGGGGAGCACATCTGTGCACTAGACTGAGGCCACTCTCATCCTGCCAGAATGGCTGGAGCCCGTGGTGGATGAGGGAGAGGTGCTTGCTTGTCTTCGAGTTGAGCTCCCTCAGCAGAAGGAGCCCAGTTCTTGCTGGAGGCACTGGGCGACAGCACATGAGGCAATGGGAGCAAGTGGTGGCAAAGAAATTCCCATTGGGTTAGAGGAAAAACTTGTCATGGGGAGAGGGGGAGCTTCTGCCTTGGAAATACTCAAACCTTGTCTGGAGCAGCCTGGAGCTGCTAATTTGTGCTGAGCACCACTTGGCCCAGACCCCTTGAGGTCCTGTCTCACCTTCCTCCACAGCCTCACAGCAGCTGCTGGCAGCATAGCATATCCCCGGCTTCCCAGCCTTTTCCAAGGGTGCTGAACAACTGGCACCTGAGCTGTTTGGCAGCTGCTGTGGCCAGGTGCCTGCAGCTGCCCTCAACCTTTGTGCAGCCTAAGGGGTTGCTGGTGCCAGGTTTTGCCCCACCTGCTGTTGGCACTGAGCCTGCTGGCAGCTGAATCCCTGGGCCAAGTGTGGCTGTGAGGCCCTGCTCCCCCTGGAGCTCCTCTCCAGCTAAGGTCTGGTTCCACAGCAGCTTCTGGCATTCCATGTGTGAGTCCCCAGCTGGTGCATGCCTGGAGCCCTGTGGCTCTGGCTCTGGTGCCTGAGCATGTTCAGGCAGGGCTGTCCCTGACCTTACTGCTCCGTGCTGCTGGATCTGGGCACCACATTTTCTCCAGAGGGGAAAAGAGTGAGCTGCAGCCATAGTAGAAGCACTAGGACACATCTCCCACTCTGGTAGCTCCAGTGGTGGGGTGGGTACCCCTATATGGGGCTGAGGAATGTCAAGAACAAGAGTCAGCACCTGTTTGGGAGGTGCATGTGAAAAGAACACGTTCCAGCACACTCCTGTGAGCAGTGCTGCAGGGACTCAGCTGGGATGTGCAACCACCTGGGAGCCAGTTCATCCCTCCTTCTGCTTCAAGGAGGCCCCCAAGCCCCATACAGCTGGCATGCTGGCACCTGCAGCTGGGGACGTGGCGGGGAAGCTGCACCTGCAACCACCCTGTACCACCCCCAGCCTGAGCACCTCCTTCCACAGTCCTGAGGAGGCTGTGGCCGTTCCCCTTGCCCCGTACCCTGCCCATACAGGGACACACAGACCATGATTGCAGGTAGCTCTCACAAATGTTCTTAATTAAGGGGAGGGGTCTTCCAGGTGGCCCTCAGCCATGTCCCCACCCCCTGCTTGGACCCACAGCTGCTTTGAGCTCTCAGCCACCACAGTCCCATCTCTGTAGGCTCCTTAGCCTGTCTTCTTCACAACGTGGATGAAGTAGCAGGGCACGTGGGCCTGTCCCGGTGTGTAGGGCTGGAAGTCGCCCAGGACACTGTGCTGGCACTTTCCCTGGAATGCACCTTTCAGCAGAGCTGTGAAGGCCTCCAGCCGGTGTGGGTAGTATGAGAGCCGAAACTTGCTGCAAGGAGGCAATGCTGGTGAGGCAGGGGAACAGCGGGGCACAGTGCCAGCCACTCCCCCATGCCAGGAGCTACCTCTGCAGCTCTTCTCACCTCAGCTCCGGGACTGCCCCCGCCTCAGTGGGGGGGACCTGCACTGTGTAGTCCAGGGTCACCATGTGTGCCTTGTTGTTTACCAGCAGCACTGAGGTAGTGATGTCCTTGGTCAAATCACTCTGAGAGACCACAGGAGAACATCTGTGTCCTGTGGGGACTTAGTGGCCCTCAGCCTGGGCACAATCCTGCTGCCTACCCCGCCTGGCCCCCTTGGGGCCATGGGGCTGGGGTAGAGGGGACTGGGATGGGGCAGGGACTGCCAGCCACCGACCTTGTAGTAGATGTTCTTGCCGGGTGGTGCACAGCCCGTGGCCAGGATGTGATCATAGTTGCGGTGGTCAATGACCAGGACACCCCCGGGCCGCACCATGCTGGCAATGTTCCTTAGGGCCAGCTTGTGGTCACTCTGGTCCCCTGGAGAGGAAACTATGGCATCTCCAAGCACTGGCACAGCCCATATGCCCTAGTCTTATGCATACACACATACACATGCACACACAGATACCTGCCCCTATCATCTATCCCCAGATCTCAACTTAAGAGAACCCACAGCCCCACCCATGGCATGAGCTCAGGCATATTTTCAGCCTCACTGGAGCAGAGCATGCCATGTAGGAAACCCACTATCCGACTTTGTGGTCTGGGTGTGCCTCCAGCCTTGCCAGAGCTGTGACATTGATGCACAAACCTCCATCATGACCATGGAACCCGGTGGGCCCACTCATGTCACAGACTGAGGCAGTGGGGCCTCAGCTACACCCTCCCTGGAGAAGCACTATGAAACAGCAGCTGCACAGTGTGTAATCCTGTCCCACTAATGCCATGAGTTAGGACACATTCTCAGCTTGCTAGAAGACACTATGCATACAGGCATAGGCGCTCCTCCTCCTCTCCCCTGCCCCAACTTACCTTTGAAGTCAGGCAGGTGCGCAAAGGAGTTCCCGAGGCAGATGACTGCATCAAACCCATCCCCCGGTTTCTCCAGGTCCTTCTCCAAGGTGAGCCAGTTGGCCTCCTCGATGACTGCAGCACATGGAATTGGGTGAGGGCAGGGACACCCAACAGCCACCCCTGCCTGCAAGACCCCATCCCAGCATCACCCAGCCCTTCCCAGGCCCTTGTGGGTGCTGGCTCTGGCCTCTGACCAGCAGCCAGCCAGCCAAAGACCATGCCTTGTCTTTGCCGAGCGGCTTGCCCTAGCAGGTCCCCGCAGCAAGGCCACCCGGCCAGCGGCAGTCCCAGAGGAGTGGCCTGAGCACTGCGAGGGACCATGGACAATGCGCTGAGGGAAGAGTGTCAGTGCCTGAAGGCCCCTCCCGGCCCCCACAGCCCCCGCACCCCATCGGTCGAAGGGCTCCTCCTTGCGCCGCTCCCAGCGCTCCTTCAGCGCGTACTTGAGCATCTTGTCGCTGGCATCGACGCTGGTCACCTGGAAGCCCTCCTCGAGCAGCATGATGGAGTCCACCCTGGGGACATGGCTGTCAGCGGGGCCGGGTGCAGCCGAGGGGCGGGGTGGGGGGACACTGGGGATGGCCGGGGGCAGCGAGGCCCCGGGCAGGGGGAAGGAACACCTGGGAGGCGGGCGGGAGGGGGGCGCGGGGCCTCACCCGGTGCCGCAGGCCACGTCGAGAACGGAGCGGCAGCGGTGCTGGCGGAGCAGCGCCAGGAGCCAGCTGCGGTACTCGGCCGTGCGGCCCCGCGTGTCCCCGATGTACAGCTGCCACACGCGGGCCGCCTGCCCGTCTGCGTACTGGTCCGGCAGCCCCTCCGCCGCGACTCCCAGCGACCGTGTCCGGTACACGCTGTCCACCATGCCGCCGCCGTCACCGACAGGGACCTGCACACGGACACCGCCGCGGCCCCTATGGTTCGCTGCGCCGCTCCCCCGCCACGCCCCGCCCCCGCGCTCCCGCCAATCCCCGCCGTGCCCGCCCCCGCGTCCCCGCCAATCGCCGCTCGCGCCGCGCCCCTCCGGCCCCCATCCAGGCCACGTCCCTCTGGCCGAGGCCCCACCAATCAGCGCCGCACAGCAGCACTCCCGCCGCGCCCCGTCATGGCCCCGACCTTTGCCTCGGCGGGATCAGGGCCCGGCTCGGCCCGCGGAACCCGCCCGCCCCTCACTGGCCTCTTCGGGCCGTGGAGCCGCAGCAGCAGCGCTGATCCCGCACCCAGCAGCAGGAGAAGCAGGGCCGGCAGTGGCGGCGACTCTGGGGAAAACGTCTTTATTTACAGTCACGAGTAGCTGGCGGCGGGCAGCACTCGCGGCCTCCCGGAGCTGGAACCCCCGGCAGGGCTGCGTCCGCGGCTCGGTGACACCTAATCACGGGATGGGACCCAAGGCGGGGCCAGACGCTCCGGCCTTCCACGGGTCACAAGTCCCTTTTCCTTTGGTAGCCATAGGCACAGCGGGGTGAAAACCCGGAGCGGGCGGCCCCGGGGACAGGGGCTGCGTGCCTACAGCTCATCAGCTAGGCTGTGGGTGAGTGGAGCCTGCTCCTGGACCCCCTCCAGGGTCTCCCCTGTGTCCGGAAGGCTGGCAGCTCCCTCGCGCTCATCCTTATGGCCCTTTTTCTTCTTCTTCCCGCTCTTTTTTTTGCTCTGCTTCTCCCCCACGCTTGCCAAATCACCCTTCTTGCCACTCCACTTCTCTGCCAGGCAGCCTAGGGAAAAGAGCAGAAGAGAGGGGCAGAGGTGGCTCTGATGGAGAGGCAGGGCTCCCCATGCTTTAGCAAGGCTCCTCTGCCCTCCTGAGCATTCCTACATTATTTCAGTCCCTAGCAGCAGTCAGGATTTACTTGTGTCCTTTCCTTTTAGCACGTGGTTAGCACAGAGAAACTGGGAGAGATCCTCCGTCTGGTGGTGCCTGTACCAATCTTCGATCACATCTTCATACTCTTCCACCAGCACATCACACTAGGGCAGAGAGGAGAACCCAGCTCCAAACACGTGCTGGTGTGGCAGGACCAGGGCCGGCTTCTGCCACAGGTCCTGCCAACATCCTGCTCCCAGCCGCGCACTCTTGGATACTCTCCCCCACTCCAATCCAGCCTACAAGGTCATAGCACCCACTGAGGACCAATCCCATGGGGCAGGATACCTGCTTTTTGAGGTCGGCCACCTCTGCGGAGGTCTCGTTCCACAACTCGTAGGGGATGTCCATCACCACCTTGACACCCTTGTGCACTAGATTGTGCAGGGTCTCAAACGTCTCTGACATGCCCTGTTAGGGAGGGAGCAGCACTACCGGGTGAGGCGGTGCTCCTCCTGGAGGACTCCCACCCTCTCTTCCCAGTGTCAGCCACACAACTCTGCCCAGCTGTGCAGGAACACGTAAGCCAGATCCCTGGTGCATCAGCGTTACCGGGGGGAGTTCAAGTGGCAGCAAGTCCCCCTCTTCAAACCTGGTCCCAAAGTCAAGAGGAAGTCAGCCCCTGAACCCCACATCTGACTTTGGGGGCAGCATGGCCTCGCATGCCAGCCACTATCGGGGGATCCAGAGGATGAGAAGAATGAACCTGTTTTGTCACTCTGGCAGTGAAGGGAATCACATTTGGGAGCAGGAACTGGAGGAACAGCTCTCACCTTTGCAAATCTGTTACTGCCACTCCTCTCCTTGTGCAGGTTGTAATCCAACAGCCGCTTGCAGATGTTCTCTGTCACCTCAATTAACCGGATATCCCTGCATAGAGAGGAGGAAGGGCTCAGGCTTGGCGTGAGCCCCCAGCAACAGCCAGGGCATAGGGTAAGCCTCCCAAAGCCTCTGGCTCCAGAGGCAGTGACAGCACCAGGAGACTCCTGTCCCACTCCCACTTACGACTGTGTGTACTTGACAGCAGAGCCCTTCCCATCCAGGAAGCCGTACTTGGTGTCGATCACCTCCTTGGTCTTGCCAGTCTCCTCGAAGGCAGATTTCAGCTCCACGGCTACGTACTTGCATACTGTGGGAAGGAGAGAGCACAAGTGGTTTAGGGGGTGTCACTGTTCTGACAAGCAGTATGAGAGCACCTGAGACGGCAGCAAGGACCAGTCCCGGGAACTGGGCACACCAAAGCTGCTGTGAGCACAAAACACATCTTGGCCATCTAAAGAAATAACCAGGAATGGCTCACATGCTGCCACTGGAGAACACTTGAAGCAGGAGCACCCAAACCAATGCTGTGGTGTAAACCAGCTGCTGTGGCACAGCTAGGAAGTCACACAGGCTCAGTTATGCCTGCAACTTTCCCCCCCAAAAGCCTCTACCTCCCTGCCACAAGCCGCTCTCTTCCTTTTGGGAGAGCATGGGGTCTTTTCACAATGCAGTTCCCAGTGTGGCTCAGAGCTTCTCCTCATGATGACAGCACATCGCACCTGGTACTGGTTCTGTGCTCTCAGTACTCTGGGGACACTGGGGCTGTGCTGGGGACTGAGCAGCTGGCAGGGTTTGGTGGGCTGGGTGACCTGACAAGGTGCTGGCCGTGAGCTCCAGCAAACACAACCTGGGGCTCTGCCTGCAGCAGAGACCGTATCATAAGCAGATTTAGAACGCAGTGCATAAGTGTTTTTATAAAACTAAAAAAAAAAAAAAAAAAGAGACAGCAGGAGAAATCTCTCAGGGTTTTACAAGTGGGAATGTGGTGGAAGGATGGAAGCCAGGCATGGTGTGGCCATTCCTCCCCCAAAGATAGGGTCCTCAGGAAGATAGAGAAAGATTTGTCCGGTGGTATGGGGTCCTGTTTGTCAGGAGCCACCTCTTCTTCAAGCTCCACTTTAGGAGAAGCACCAAGCTCCAGCAGGAATGGTCTATCAGCAATGAGCCACTGTCTTCTCCCAGGCAATTATGTGAGTTGAGAGATGCCCCAGGCAGGAAGAGAGCGAGGTGGCTTCTCCAGAGCTCCCATGCACCCGTTGAGAAGCCCTGTGCCCAGCTCCTGCACGATCTTTTCTTTGCTGGCACCAGGGGCTGGAGGTGACTGTGGCCATTTCTCAGGTGGGATGATCGTTCCTTCCTGCAGACCCTTGGAGCTCAGGCCTCAAGGATGTCCCTCTCCATACCTGCTGCAGTATCCCCATGCATACCAGGAGTGCTCACTGCTGAGTCCAGTTATCCAGATGCTTCCTGCAGCTTTTGCTGCACACTGACACAGGTTCCAAGCCTGGGCAGGAAGAGGAGCAGAGTGTGGTCAGTGCTTGCTCTGATGCTTCTCTGATGCTTCACTGCTGCCACAGCAGAACTCGGACATCAGCATCTCCAAAGCTGCTTCCCCGGCAGGGAAAAGAACTCTCTATTTTTTTTCTTTTCTCTTTGCTGTCCAGCTCCACATGCACCTGCACAGCAAAGACAGAGGAAACTGCACCAGGCAGCAAATGTCCGTCATGACCTACCCTGGATTGCCTATGAACCAAAGGGATACTCAGGAAGCATCACGAAGATCGAACTGTAAGCAGCACACATAGCCAGTCCCAGCAACAAACCGGCACGCGATCAAGTGACTGCCAAGAACAGTGGGCAGGACGCGGGCAGAGAGGCAACACGCGGTGGCGCAACCTCGCACCAGCAACCGCCGGCCCGAGCAGACAGCGGGCGGCGGCCGATCGCTCCGGTCCCCTGAGGCCCCACTTACCCTCGCACTTGCTGGGCAGTCGCACCCAGTCCGAGTCGTCGCCCCTCGCCAGCGCCGCCGCCATCAGCACCATCACCAACGCTGCCCCCGCAGCCGCCATGACTCCGTTTCCGGGGCGCGCTCCCGCCCCGCCCGGTTACCATGGCGACCCCGCCGCACCGGCCAATGCCGGAGGCGCGCGTGACCCGTGTGACCAATCACCCGCCGGCCTCCGCCAACCAATCCTAGCGGTGCGCGGTCCCCGTGGCACCGCCCCTGGGCGGTCCCGCCGAGCGCCCACGTGGGAAGGGGCGCTCACGTTGCCGCGGCCGCCCCTCCGGATACCCATGCAACCCTCCGGGGCCCTCCCTGCCTCTGGAATTCTGAAGACTTTCTCCCCCGAGGTACCTTGGGTATCTTTCTCTACCTCTGGATAATTTGGGATTCCTTCCCATCCTCCAAGTAATTCCAGGGCCCTGCCACCCACAGAAACCTGTCACCCTCTCTCTCTTGTCCACCCGAACCAAGAGTCCCTGTAACCTTCCCCAACCAACCGGTCTCCTCCCTCCTCCATTTGAAAGTCCTCTCTCTAGTCTCCAGAATATTTCCAGTGATTTCCACACCCCTACACCAAACCCGGGGGACTTACGTTTCAGGCATGGGCAGTTGCCCATGCCTCAGCTCTGGCGAGGAGGATGGAGGTGAGGACAGCATCAGAGAGCAAGACCTTCAGCAGCACCACACGGACAGCCATAAGCAGGGCTGCCAAGGCAGGGGCTGGTGACACTGCAATGGAAGGGTGAGGTGATGCTTGCCACAGACACCTCACTGCCCCCACATCCTCTCCAGGCCTGCCACAGGGCCATATTTGGGCAGACTTGGGATCCCAGAGACTCCTCATGTCACCCTCATGCTGTCCCTGAAGGCAGGCTGGCTCTGACCAACTTTCCCTATTCTTCCCACCAAGGTGAAGCTTCCCTCTTTCTCATTCCCACAACACTGTAAGAAAACCCATGCCAATCACCACCTAGCCTCTGCCAGGGCTTTCTCCCCGGCAGCTGACATTCCCACCAGGCAGGGGCCAGAGACTCACCAGCTGTGCTACACAGCTCTGCCGCCTCCTCGTTTCCTGAGGGATGAAAGAGCAGCTGGGGAGGTGCTGGCAGCCCAGCACCAGGTGCATGGTAAGGCTGGCCACAAACCTCTTCCTGTGATCAGGACAGCAACGTCTGCCCCTAGGACCTCACCCTGCTGGCCCCAGAGGCATTGCCAACCTCCCTCCTTGGGGGCCACCAATGCGCCCACTATGCTGGGCAGCAGTGGCCAAGGCAGGCAGAAGGGGTGGCAACGGGGCCATACCGGTGATGCGGATGGGGCTGGAACTGTGGTACGGGAAGGTCCTGTTGGTCCCCACATGGCAGGCAAGTTCACTCTCACGCGGGGGGTCACTGGAAAGGAGGGAGACAGAGCAGACAGTGCCACCATCCTCCTGGGAGGCCCCATAGGCAAAGGACTGCAGGATGCTACCATTCCCACCGGAGATCCAGACAGCATGGCCAGAGCTGGGGGCCAGGTCACTCACCACGCACACCACCAGCTGACGGCGCTGCCCAGCCAACACCATGCTCAGTGGCCGGGTCAGCGTAGGCAGTGGCACAGCTGCCCTGCCAGCTGAAGGAAACAAGGTTAAGGGGCACTGCTTCCCTCACAATCCCACCCAGTACGGCTGCCAGCTCGGCAGAGCTCAAGCCTTTGCATCCAGGCTGGATGGCAGCCGGCCTTTCCGCCTCCTGCGTCTGTCCCGGGGGTACTCACGAGGCAGAAGCGGAAGCAGAGCGGCAGCCAGCAGCACCCGGAGCGGCTCCATGACAGCTGGAGCGCATGGGGAAGCCGAGGGCTCAGCCCCTACCCGTAGCTCCAGCTGCGCCGCCCACCGCCGGGGCTGCGGGGCCGGGTCTGCGCGGCGCGCTCTTCCGCCGGTGGTACGGCCCCCACTGCTCCTTCCCGGTCGCGACGCCCCCGGGGACACTCCCACCGCCCCCCGCCCGCCAAGCCCCGCAAAGCAACCCCGCCCTAGCACGGCGCTGCCGGCTGGTGAAGAAGAAACCACTCAAGAATTCTGGGCCCGCAGGATCCGACTGCCCCCGGGGCACACGCTCTGCCCCACGGTCCCGGGACAGGCAGAGAGGAACGCAGGATGCCTGAGACAGGACGGGGTGGCAGCTGCTGTGCACTTAGGAGCAAACCCTAACCCAGTCCTACAATATCCATATTGCACATGCACGAAGCCAGGCTGGAAATGCCTCTGCTTTATTCTTCTTCAGCCAAACACACCAAAACAAACCCCAAACCCCAGCACTGCTCGGCTTGGTGACACCGTAAACTTCCAGGACACTCCTGCCAGAGCAACCTTGGTTACTTCCAATCAAGGCTGTGGCTTCACCAGCAGAATTTGTGACTCTTTATGACTCAAGGCACATGTATTGAAATACAGAAAAACAAAACATGTACAATAACTTTAGCACAAACACAGCATTAAGGCATACATTTTTCAAAGATTATTCTTGAAAAAAACAACAAAAAAAATTTTTTGGTGATTTCCAGCATTCACTTCATGCTGTTTTATGACCTCTTCATACCTACAAGTTTCAGCCCACACTCAAAGAACCCCGTCACTCTCAACCCAAGAGCTTGGGCAGAGCAGCAATATTGCCGGATTTTCATAAACATTTCAACAGCTGGCGATTCTTTAGTAAGTCCAAACAAACCAACAGAGCCATCTTTCCTTGCCCTACACCTTGGCAAACACCCTGCCACAATAAAAACATAAAATTAATCTTGAATTCTTTTGAAGAACCTGAGAACTAACTTAATACCTGAAACTCAGGGACAACGACAAGACTTGATAGGTGCTTCCTCCCTCCAACTATCACCATGCCAAGGACCAAGCTACTCCACATTGAGCTTTGTTTTTATGTTCATGGCTGCCAGCTCAGCCACAAAGTAGTGGAAGACATGAGGCACAGGGACAACCTCGATGGCATTCACCTTGCTGCAGACAGAGCAAGAATACCTCCTGCTGCTGGTCACAGAGGAGTGGGACAGTTTCTCCAGCACAGGGGATATAATGCTGCCGCAGCTTGTGCACACGTAGGCTACAGAGCCGTCTGAGCAGTTGAACAGGCGGTCCTGCAGCAGGAAGGACGTGCCATGGGCCAGCAGAGCATCCCGCTCCATCTCGCCAAAGCGGATCCCACCTTCCACATTCCTCCCCTTGACAGGCTGGTTGGTGACAGCATCTCGGGGCCCCGTGGTCCTCACCTGGAACTTGTCGGAGACCATGTGGCGCAGGCGCTGGTAGTACACCAGCCCCACGAAGATCTCTGCCTCCAGCTCTACCCCACTGATGCCGCTGTACATCTTCTCTGTCCCAAAGAAGTTGTAACCCGCGCTCACTAAAGTCTCACCGAAGTATTTCAGAGCAGACTTCTTCTCGCTGAAGGTGAAGGGAGTGGCATCATAGGAGACCCCATGCAGGGCTGCTGACTTCCCTGCCATGCTCTCAATTAACATACCAATGGTCATGCGAGAAGGAAAGCCATGAGGGTTGAACAGGATGTCTGGAACCATCCCGTTCTCTGTGAAGGGCATGTCCTCGATGGGCCAGAGCTGGCTCAGGATACCTTTCTGTCCATGACGGCTGGCAAATTTGTCTCCAATAGTGGGATTTCGGGGAACCCTGACAGTGATGCAAGCCTTCTTGAACTTCCCAGTGCCACGGTCATTGCTGCACAACCTAACATTGTCCACAATGCCCACTTCCTTACTCCTGTGTAGGTGGAGGAACAATCATAGCAAAGGTGTCAGGTTTGCTAATAATTTTTAGTTTCAAAACAAAAACGAAGCAAAAAAACCATAAACCACTTATAAAATGCCTTGGGACAGCTGAGAACACCGCCATTCTTCAAGGTACTACTCAGTAGTGACTATGTAAGACTATGTACACTATGTAAGGATTAGGGCAAGGAAGCAATACAAGGGCATCTTCCAAGTGCCATTCAGGTACTACTTTCACTTGATCAGGTAATGTGCCACCCATGATTTAAAATAAGAGTCATTTCAACCTGGTTCATCTGTATCACACTTTGATAAACTGCATCCCACTGCCATTTCCACTGTGTTAAGGCAGCAGCCCCCCTCCCTACTGTTGGGAAGGGTAAGGATTTGACAGGAAGGTCTCACAGATATGTGTATGTAACAGAAAGATCTCTGAATGTAGAATCTGAAGAAGGAATAGATGTGATAGCAAGTTTTGATATAGAAAAAAAAATTGCTGAGCCAGTCTTACTGGGTAACTAGAAGGCAATGAGCAAGTGAGTTGGAAGGAGCTTTTATGGCTTAGAGCAAAGGATAAACCCATCTCAAACAAAAGATGTTTTTACCAAACAAAAGGATTTTCACAGGCAAACAAGAAAGCCAATGTTGCAAGTAGAGAAAAGATCTCAGAAATTTCCACAGCAAAACAAGTCCCAAAATTTAACATGTAACTACTAACTCAAATGATTGGCTAGTCACTAACATAATATGGTAATTTTAGCAGTTTGGATAGGTTGTATGTAAAAGGTATTGTGTATGATGCTGATTGGTAGCCATGTATTAAGATGCTCTGTAATGGAAAGTATATAATGTATTGTAACCAGAATTAGAATGGGACTTCAGGACACAAGGCCTACCTTGATGAGCTATAGGCTCATCCACAACCCTCAACTGCTGTAACCCGGTCCATGCAAGAAACATTTTTGAGAGCTGTCTGAAGCCTCCATCTCTCTGTCAGGCTCTTAAACCTACCACCAATAAATTCACACCATACTGATGGGATCCCAAAACAAAGAACCTGATTCAGCTCTTCAGTAGAGAGGGAAGTTCAGACCAGAAAGGGAAAGCAAAGTGTGAACTGTGACAAGTGCCTTGCTCAGAGGGGTGCTCCTCCTCCAAATGAGCCCTCAGCCTGATATTCCATGTGCCAGGAGTCTGCTGCAGGCTTAACTGTTGTCACATCCACATCCACATCACAAAAAAAAAAAAAAAAAATCCTCCTGGGATAAGCCAGCTCTGCAGCACACACTGGCTTGGAGAAAATATGTGATAC